AATTTTTTGTTTTTTTGCTTATTTATACTTTATAGTTTTATACAAGTATTAAAAACAAACTTCACGTGCTTTTATTTGAAATGAAATAGGAACTACATTTGACAATTGAGAAAAAAAATACAATATGAAATACATTTCGTAATCATTCGGAATTTTCCGGTCCTTTGGATTTGTCACATGACTTAATATGCTTCTTGGTCATCCCTTATCCGCGTGAAAACCCCGAAGCTACACTTTTCCCGCACCATTTGCAAGTTGCGTACCACATCCCGGTTCTCGGGTCCTTCTGCGTATAAAAATTATACACGATAACGGCATATTGACTTTCCATCTTAAAAATGGTAGATATAATAATTCTATAAATACTAGAATAGATGGAGATGAAGATGGAGAATGGAGATTGGAGATTCGATATTGGAGAAGATTTCTATAAAACTGTTAGAAAATAGGAGTATTTATAGAAATTTTTGTACCCCCAGCCCACCCCCACCCCCGGGACATCCTTGATTCAAGCACCCAACGGCTATATAGCTGTTTGGGGCCTTGAGGCTTGAGCCTTTGATTTCAATTTTTTTTTGTTTATTTTAGTTTGAATAAATTACATAATGTAAAATTAATTAATTAATTTAATGAATTAAGTAAAGCTATTTTTACTTAGAAACTAAGAAAAGTAGTGTGATTTAGAATTTACAAATGTCACAAAATATGTGTATTTATACAAATTACATATTGTAAACCTAATTTTAATTTAAAAACAGCTTTAGACAAAATAAATTGTAAGTTGTAACCAGTTAATTAATTTGAGAAGTGCTTCTTTATATAAAAAAATGAACGTATATTTATTTGAAATATGAACTACAAGTTTACAAGTTACGATTGAGAATTGAATGAAAAATTAAAACATGAAATATTAATCAATCGGAATCTCCGGCATAGGTAGAGCCGCCATCGGTTGTTGATTCATCCATAAAGTGTTGGAATGAGGTGATGGCAATTTCTTGAGTAATAGAATGAATTTAACTAATATTAATATACTAATTAAGTAGATATATGTAGATAATAAGTAGATGAGAAATATTAATATACTAATTAAGTAGATATAAGTAGATAATAAGTAGAGATTAAGTAGATAAGAAATATGCTTCGGAAACAACCCGAGTTGCCAGCAATGCAGGCTTACTCATGTGCCTCTGATGATTTTGATCACTCAGAGTCTCAGATGACTTCATCTTCACAGATGACTTCTTGGGACATGCTACTGAAAGCGATCGTCGTCCTCCTATTTCATACCCAGAAGAAATTAGGAAGTCCAAATTTAATAAAGAAATTTGCCGGAAAGCCAATTTCATAACCACGGAAAATTGCCTACCAACTGACAACCTGAACAGGTAGCTCAAAATCTACAGAAAAACTCAAAAGAACAAAAGACGACATAGCATGAGAACAAGATCTCAATCCAGAGACTTCCCGTGAGATTAGTTAATTGATTAGTTTCCTCGTTTTTTTTTCCTTTTTGTAATGCTTTTCGCTTTTCTCCTTTTCGCATTGTACTGTTTTTCCTATTATCAATAAAATTTCTCTTTTTAAAAAAAAATAGATAAGAAATATAAGTAATATAATATATGTATTTATAAATAGAAAATTAATATATAAGTTGATAAGAAATCCTTGTACTACTCTATGTTCTCTCTTGCTCCAACTTATGCCCTACTTTTTGTAGCATTCTCTTTTAGTCCTTATTATTTGTTTCACCTCCTCATTTCACCAAGATGTGTCCTTTTTTTGTGGCATACATCCTTTAGATTCTCCGAGTATCTCTTTCGCCACTTTGTTAATGTTCGACTATATTGATAACCACACATCATCGACATGTGTGTCATTATCAATACACCATACATCTTCTTCCAACATTTTGTGTGCAAAATTTTGTTATAGATCTCCCTCGAGCCTCCACCACTTTATATTTGGCACCACGTGTGCCTTAACATGCCTTCTCTTCTTACCATGAAAATCAAGTGCAAACATCATATGCTCAGTGACAGCACTCTCACCTGGGGTAACCTTTCAATCAGTGTAGCTAGTTTTCCGAATCAACTGTACTAACAAGTACGAAGTATTCAATTTGGGTACTATTAACTCCACTTCTATAGGTCATAAGGTGGAGTCTCTTTTCTTGAACTAAGTGTTCATTACAGCCAACTCATATGTCAAGACAAAATCTAGAATGTTCTTTCTTTATTTATTTATAGTGCCAAAACCATCCCCACCATGGATACTCTCAAAACCATCACGATTTAGGCTCACATGCCTGTTGAGGTCGTCTCCTATGACCAACTTATCTGCACTCGTCGCACCACTTCCTCAAGATGTTCCCAAAATTATTGAGTGATAGATGCATTCAATCCCACTTGTAGTGCATAGTCACTTACCACAAACATGATCTCATCTCCTATTACCAATTTAGTGCTCATAATATGGTCATTCTTCCTAATGACTTCCACCACACCCCAAACATAATCACGCGTCATAATAATGTGTACTCCATTTCTCATCTTCTCTCTTCTAGATTACCACAACTTAAAACCTCTGAGATTAATCTCACGTGTCTTTTCTCCAACTCATTTAGTTTCCTACACACATAATGCTGATACTCCTCATCCTCATAACATCGACTACCTCATATGATCTTTCTGTAAGAGAGCCAACATTCCACACCCCAAATGCAATCTAGCGCCATGTCTTATGTTCTTCATTCCACATTGCTCAACTTACATCCTCTCAAATAGTTATCTAGTCGATTCGGGGAGGTCCTCAGGGATGCGGTGTCATCCTTTTTTCATACCACATTGCCCCCGCCATGCCCAAATTTGACATCATCCCTGGACATTGGAGTGGTACCTGGCACGTCGCTTCGAGGCAATGATCTAACAACCTTAGCATTTTTATCACCGCATCCAGGTCTATAAAGTGTAACACGCCATTGCATATTTGACAACACCCCTAGGTGGAGGGACAGTCTAACTGTAACAATATTCGGTTATGTGACTAGGTGATATTGTTCGCCATCAGACACTCACCACAACACCCTTACTCATGGACTCGGGCCGGTTCGGGGCCGGGCCGGGCCTCCGATTTATAATAGGTGGGGCCGGGACCGGCACGAAGTAAGAACGGTTCCGGTGCGGGCCGAGCCACCCGCAGGGCTGGGTCGGGCCGGGTAAATTTTTTGTTTTTTTGCTTATTTATACTTTATAGTTTTATACAAGTATTAAAAACAAACTTCACGTGCTTTTATTTGAAATGAAATAGGAACTACATTTGACAATTGAGAAAAAAAATACAATATGAAATACATTTCGTAATCATTCGGAATTTTCCGGTCCTTTGGATTTGTCACATGACTTAATATGCTTCTTGGTCATCCCTTATCCGCGTGAAAACCCCGAAGCTACACTTTTCCCGCACCATTTGCAAGTTGTGTACCACATCCCGGTTCTCGGGTCCTTCTGCGTATAAAAATTATACACGATAACGGCATATTGACTTTCCATCTTAAAAATGGTAGATATAATAATTCTATAAATACTAGAATAGATGGAGATGAAGATGGAGAATGGAGATTGGAGATTAAGTAGAGATATTAATATACTAATTAAGTATAATAAGTAGATATTAATATACTAGAGATATTAATAAATACTAATTAACGATAACGGCATAAGTAGATAATAAGTAGATAATAAGTAGATGAGAAATATTAATATACTAATTAAGTAGATATAAGTAGATAATAAGTAGAGATTAAGTAGATAAGAAATATGCTTCGGAAACAACCCGAGTTGCCAGCAATGCAGGCTTACTCATGTGCCTCTGATGATTTTGATCACTCAGAGTCTCAGATGACTTCATCTTCATAGATGACTTCTTGGGACATGCTACTGAAAGCGATCGTCGTCCTCCTTTTTCATACCCAGAAGAAACTAGGTAGTCCAAATTTAATAAAGAAATTTGCCGGAAAGCCAATTTCATAACCACGTTAAATTGCCTACCAACTGACAACCTGAACAGGTAGCTCAAAATCTACAGAAAAACTCAAAAGAACAAAAGACGACATAGCATGAGAACAAGATCTCAATCCAGAGACTTCCCGTGAGATTAGTTAATTGATTAGTTTCCTCGTTTTTTTTTCCTTTTTGTAATGCTTTTCGCTTTTCTCCTTTTCGCATTGTACTGTTTTTCCTATTATCAATAAAATTTCTCTTTTTAAAAAAAAAATAGATAAGAAATATAAGTAATATAATATATGTATTTATAAATAGATAATTAATATATAAGTTGATAAGAATAATAAGTAATATAATAAATGTATTTATAAGTAGATAAATAATATAAGTAGATATATAATATATTGGAGAATAAGAGAATTTGAGAAGATGAAGATGAAGATAAATAGAGAGTGGAGAGTAGGATTTAGGAACAGTTGGAGGAGATACGGAAAAATGTTTAAGATTAGGAGTATTTATAGTTTTTTACCCCACCCCCCAAACTGCCCGGACCCCCCCTTCCAGCCCACCCAACGGCTATATAGCCATTTGGGTAGTCCCAGCCCAGCCTTACGGCTCTTTTGGCCCAAAACAAAAAAAATGGCCGTCCTGAAAATGACCCAAACCTCATGTACCTTTTATGTACTTTTCCCAATTTTTAATCGTTTGTGATTTTAAAATTCATTATATTCAACTTTGGATTATATAAACAATTCACAATATATACTAATCAAAATAGTGATCCAAATTTTACCACCACTGACTTGAAAAATCAAAGATAGCAAAGTTTTTAGGAGCGGAGGTAATAGTAATTTTCATTTTAATTTTTAACCCATATCAAGCTGACACACTATGAGGTGGCCCCTGCGCTTTACACTATTTGGTTACTATAAGTCTAATATATTACTGTTCAAACATGAAATACTATCTAATTATTATTACCTCAAAGACAGCAATGCAGGCGAATAACTATACTACAACATATAATTACACATTTAATTTTCATACAAACTACTAAAGAAAAGAATCTAGAGAGTAGTTAAAAGGATATCAACATTATAAACAAAATACATTTCAAATAACCAAGTATTGAACACCAGACTGACCAGAGTTTGCTCAACTGGGCAATGAGGGGAAAAAGCAAAATAAAAAATTGCTCAAAATCAAAATCACATTATACCTAGAGAGTTTAGCCGAGGTCTATACACCAAGTCATATCAGTATAACAAAGAACACAACGCCAAACTCTATGATTAGCTAAGACATCTCACGGAATCTAGCAATGGCCTTCTTTTGTATAAGAGTTCGGTAGCTATCACCAGCCTGTACTTCAAGGCTTGGATCCACTTTCTTTGGCTTTGGTTGACTTCCAAGTCCTGCTCGCTTGTCAATGGACTGTGCTTGGACCGGTTCTGTCATCCCACTTCCATCCTTACCCAATCCCTGTACATCAGATTAACATGCAACAACAAAAACATTTTTTCAAATCCAATGTCAGTTCATGGACTTGTGGTTCCCCCAAGTTAAGTTTTTAGTTGTTCAGGATAGAAGATGCAATAAGTTATGAACCAATAGTTCAATACAAGTAATTTGTAGGTATTTCAAGTCAATACATCACCTTTATTTTTCTTTTTCCATAACTATCTTCACCCACTCATGAATAACTCTCCGTTAAAGAATGATTGTGGCTTTTAAGGTGATACTTTGTTGGTTTCTTTTTTGAGAAGACACCCAACTGATTTCAAGATATAAGAGTATCATGTCCAAGCGAAACAAAAATGGAAAGGTCAACTTGGTCATTTTACTATTATTACTTTATTGGTTTTCGATGAGATACTTATTTGTAAGCAAAACGTCTTTAGTTAATGGATAGCTATTTGAGAACAGGAGTATGAAATAAGAGCCTGTTGGGTAAGGATTAAAAGGGCTGAAGTGGCTGAAAATGTGGACGGATTGAGAGAATCCAGCCACTATCTGTTGAATTATTATAATAAACTACTCCCTCCATCCCCCCTATCTTTCTCTCGTTTTACCTTTTTGATAATATTTGGGTGGTTGCAATTTTTTCTTACTTTATTCAACTACACAATTTCACTTTTCTTACACTATGTAATTTCACTTTACCAGTACAATATCAACTACACAATTTCACTTTTCTTAATAACCACTCCACCCCCTCTTGTCTCAATCTTCGGGGGATGGAGGTAGTATTTACAAATATATATATATTTTAACAAAGAAAATAATATCTACAAATAAAACTAAAAGTATTAGTTTTATCAATTTCAGCCATTTCAATCATAACTATATCCCTACAATGTTTTTGACATTATCAGCCACATCAGCCACCACCTCATTAGTGTTTAGCGAAAAAACTAGCCGGAAAGCCAAAACAATATCCAACTAAACAGGCTCTCACTACATAGCGAAGTGAAGAGTGAGAAGTGATACCAAGCCCTCTTGCCAGCCCATATTTCTGAGCATACGGTTCCCAACATTACTCTCATCGATAGCTCTATCAGAAGTTATAACCTCATAGCTCTGAGGATTTGCATCTCCAGAAACACGACCACCCCCAACGCCCGGTGGGAAAGGTGTTGGGTCAAAGACGCCCCTTCTTGATGTGGAATCCCGATCTTCGTTCCCCACAACAACAAAACAAATTCTTCACAAGTCAATACAGATATATAAAATAGAGTACATCAACCTCGACTGGAATCTTCTTTCACAATAAAATTTCCCACTAAGCTGTCTAAGCATTGTTTGGACCTAGGGTCAGGAATCAAGGATATTAGATCTCAGACATAATTAATTAACTATATCCTGTCAATCATAAATACATAGGCAACAAGCAAAATGCTACATCACACATAAGTCCAAAAATGAGTTAATATCTGATTTGGTCCCTCAACTATACACTACATTATCTGTTCCTACCTAATACTACGTATTTAAGTTTTAACAGACCGTTTCCCGGTTTGCAAAAATTAAGAAATTCAAATAAACTTTGTAAATCAATCAAAACATATCTTATAATACCAAAACTACCCCCCTGTTTATCACCGCGTGAACTTTTAAAGTTCAATATAAAGCAATATTCATGCAAAACTAACCTTATAATGTGTGGTGATTTGATTAATGGTCGGTTACGTAGGAACGGAGGAAGTATTTCTCAATTTGGTCCAAATTAGACTCAATTTAATTTTATGCATATTCCGCTCCATTTTAAAGGGCATTCTCATATGTTGAGGACTAAATTGAATCCAAATTACATAGTTGATGGCAAACTTTGAGTCCAAGATTTGGTCTCTTTTTAGAGAACAGACAATCTATTTAGTTAGACAAAATCTGCATGAGAACATTGGGTCCAAATGTGATAGGGACTCAACCAAAACAGCAGAAATCAGTAGTATGGTGATGAAGATCGCAGATTTACAAGTGCGGAAATCGTAAGAAAGAGAAGAAACGGATAGTCAGGACTCTTCGAGAGGTCCCGCTCTCCCAGCCCAATTCTACAGAATTCTGATAGAACTTCCACAATTCCAGAATTAATCACAGAAGAATTAAGAACAACGAAAGAAATCTGAATCTCATTCACAGTAGGTAAACCGTATACAATTGTCCCAAAGAAGGAGATAGAACTCCAACTTCTCAGTCCAGACAAAATGTCTACAAAACAGCCTCCTTCCCTCTGCAGTTTTATTCTATTTATATCCTTCACATATCGAAGGTAGTTATTAGTTACTATCAGTTTTAACTAATAACTAGCTAGTCAGCTTTGACTTTCTAGAATAGACTTGCCCATAGAATCTATTCCTATTAGTTAGACTAGCCGGGTCCTTATCAATACCCCCTCCTTGAACTACCAACTTGTCCTCAAGTTGGAATTTAGGGAATTGATCTTGTATAACTTGAATAACCTCCCATGAGTCTTCGAAATCAGGAAGTTCCTTCCAATGTATAAGGACTGATATCTCTCACACCTTCAGGTCTCACTTGCAGCTCACAATCTTCTGTGAGGCAATTTGGGAGGTTTTGGTAAGTCACTGTAGGTTTCAGTACCATCTTCAACAATGATAAATGGAATACAGGGTGTATTCTACTCCCTTCTGGTAAATTGAGTTTAAAACTACAGGACTGAGCTTCTCTGCAATTTCATAGGGACCATAGAGTCTTGGGCTTAGCTTTTGATTGATCTTCTTAGCTAAACTTTTCATCTTATAGGGTTGTATTTTGAGAAAAACTTTATCTCCTACTTCCAGTATTTCTTCCCTCCTGTGTTTATCAGCTTGTTGCTTCATCAAGTTCTGAGCTCTGGCCAAATTGTCTTTCAATTCATTCAGCATTATATTTCTTTCAGCTGTCAGTTTGGCCACTTCATCTATTGCAGTCAAATTAACATCTCCCCTGATGATAGAAGGGGATGTTGTCCAAACAAGTATTCAGCCCAAGGGAGCCACTTCACCCACTGTCTAGGTTGCCTCCCACTCAAACACCTCAAATAAGTCTCTAGGCACATGTTCACCACTTCAGTTTGCCCATCACTTTGAGGGTGATAAGCTGTATTGTATTTCAGTTTTGTCCCAGTCAATTTGAATAGCTCCGACCAGAATGAACTCAGAAAAATGTCATCTCTGTCACTTACAATGGATTTGGGAAATCCATGTATCCTTACAATCTCCTGCACAAAAACTTCAGCTACTACCTTGGCATTGAAAGGATGAGCCAAGGGTATAAAATGTGAAAACTTGGTCAGTCTGTCCACCACTACTAGGATTGTGTCTTTGCCTTGAGATTTTGGAAGACCTCCAATAAAATCCATACTAATGTCAGACCACACATGATCTGGAATGGGTAAAGGTTGAAGCAATCCTGCAGGTTTCAGTGCCTGATACTTGTTTCTTTGACATGTTTCACACCCTTGAATGTAGTTCTTGTGTCTGATCTCATACCTTCCCAAAAAACAGATTTGAGATCCTCTTCATAGTTCAGAAATATCCGAAGTGACCCCTTACAGCAGAATCATGGTATTCTTTCATAATAGTCTGAATGTGGGATCCTTTTGGTAATACCAACCTCCCTTTATAGTAAAGAAGCCCTCCCTTCCTTTTGTAATCCATGTACAAATCAGGCTGTATCACCATCTTCTGAACCACTTCCCTCCATTTAGAATCCTTCTCAAGCTCTTCTCCCAAACCATCCCATTCTTGACAAGTGGAAAGGGCTGTATAAGTAGCTTTCCTGGATAAAGCATCTGCAGTTTTGTTTTTAAATCCCTGGTTTATATTTGATAGTAAAATTGTATCCCATGAGTTTAGCTATCCACTTTTGTTGGTCTTCCCCCATTACCTTCTGCTCAATCAAATGCTTCAAACTTTTTTGGTCAGTATGAACCTCAAAGTTTCTTCCAAAAAGGTAAGGTCTCCACTTCTGAATGGCAAACACAATTGCCATGAGTTCCTTCTCATAGATAGATTTAGTCAAATGTCTAGGAGATAGCTCTTTACTCATGTAAGCAATAGGACCACCCTCCTGCATTAGCACAGCCCCCAAACCTTTTCCAGATGCGTCTGTCTCTATCACAAAGAGTTTAGTAAAGTCAGGTACTCTCAATACAGGTAATGAAATCATAGCCTCCTTCAGATCATTGAAAGCTTTAGTAGCCGGTTCACCCCATTTAAACCCATCCTTTTTGAGTAAAAGAGTAAGAGGTGCAGCAATCTTACTATACCCTTTTACAAATCTCCTGTAATACCCAGTTAACCATAGGAATCCCCTCAGTTCCCTCAAGTCTCTGGGTATAGGCCAATTCTTCATAGCTACAATTTTCTCAGGATCAGCTGCTACCAGCTGCTACCCCTTCAGCAGAAATTATGTGACCCAGATAACTCAGTTGATCCTGACCAAATGAACATTTCTTGAGATTTGCCACCAACTGATTCTCTTGTAAAGCTCTCAGTACTTTTCTTAAGTGCTCTTTATGATCTTCTCTAGTTTTACTGTAAACCAAGATATCATCAAAGAATACTAGAGCAAATTTCCTAAGAAAAGGTCTCAACACCTCATTCATAAGAGACTGAAAAGTTGATGGTGCATTCGTCAACCCAAAAGGCATAACTAGGTACTCATAATGCCCTTCATGAGTCCTAAATGATGTCTTATGAGTATCATTATCCTTCATCCTGATTTGGTGATAACCTGCTTTAAGATCTAACTTTGAAAATATTCTGACACCACCCAACTCATCCAGAAGTTCTTCAAACACTGGGATAGGAAACTTATCAGGTATAGTAACCTTATTTAAAGCCCTATAGTCTCCACAGAACCTCCAGCCCCCATCCTTCTTCCTAGCCAATAGAATGGGGCTACTATAAGGGCTATTGTTGTTTTTAATGATTCCAGATTTCAACATTTCAGCTATAATTTTCTCAATTTCATTCTTTTGATCGAATGAGTACCTGTATGGTCTGATATTGGGTATATCTGCTCCTTCTTTAATATTAATGGCATGATCACATGCTCTGGCAGGTGGAAACTTCAGAGTTGCTGTAAATACTTTTAATTAATGGAAATTCTGCAATCACCCTTTCCCAGTCTCCTCCAACCTCTGTTTTCTGTTCTTGATTCTCCTGTTGCCCCTCATAGTATAACAGATAACCATCCCCCACCTGGTGTAGTATTTGAGCCATAGTTTTCATGGAAACCTCCATCTGATTTGATACAGTGTTACCTTTGAGAATGCAAGACATCCCCTGATTCTTCCATTTGATTATTTGTTGTCTAAAATTGATCTCCATATCCCCCAGTTCAGTCAGCCACTCCATTCCCAAGACTAAATCAATTCCTCCCAATTCCAGTAGATAAAAAGTTTGATGAATTTCAACTCCTTGTACATTTATACCAACTTCAGTGCATTTTCCCATATTAGGAATGTAATCTCCATTTCCTATTTGTACCTTATACCCCTTGATTGGATTATAAGGTATATTCCACCTTTCTGCTAAAGTTTTGGACATGAAGTTGTGTGTGGCCCCACTGTCAATAAGTATAGTGACCTCCATATCTCTTCCTTGCCACTTTAGTTTTCCTTTCACCTTGAAAGTAGTCATGGATGGAATGCCTTCCTTGCTTAAAATGGACAGCTGCATGTTATTCATGTCCATCTGATTTGAAGTATGGGACTGACTTCCTTCTGATTCCTCATATTCCACATCATAGACTTCCTCTCCTTCAGAATTCTCTACCAGAATCATCTTGTAATTCTTCATTTTACAAACATATCCTCTTCCCCAATTTTCCCCACATTTAAAACATAAACCCTTCTTACTTCTCTCCAGTAATTCTTCCTGAGATAGTCTAGGTCCCTGCCTCTTCACCATCAGATCCTTCACCTCCTGGTTAGTCTTATTATCAACTAACATCTTAGCTGAATTTCCAGAGTTGTTGGTAATTCCTAGAGGACTTCTCCATCTGCTGCTTTCACTCCAATTATGTCCTGGTGGTTGACTGATAACCCTGTTCTGACCCTTCTTCTTACTTTCCTCTCTATTCTTCACAAATACAGCTTCATTATTTTTATTCTCAACCAAGGAAACCGTATCCATAACTTCAGCTAAAGTCCTGGTAGGGTACAACTTCAATTCAGCTCTTATATCCCTCTTTAAACCCTTGAGGAAAACTCCTTTCAACACCTCTTCAGTCAAGTGTTCCTGAGATGAAATAGCTGTTTCAAATTGGTTCCTATACTCGGTGATAGAACCTTTTTGCTTCAAACTGAATAGAGGTCCTAATGGATCCTGTACCACCTCTGGTTGAAATCTCCTGGTCAAAGCCTTCGTAAATGAGTCCCAATTTAAATGTAAGGCTTGTCTCTCCCACCATTGGAACCAGCTAAGAGCTTGATCTTCCAATGTGATAACTGCAACATCCAATTTCTCTTCCTCCGCAGTTCTATTCAATTGGAAATATCTATTCATCCTCAACAACCATCCGCTCACATCCTTTCCACGGAAAACCGGCAAATCAATCTTCCTCCCCATATTATGGTTGTTTCTGTGATTCCGACCTGTTCAGGTTCACGTCGTGAAGCGGTGTGGTTCGAATTAGTATCCGAATCACCAGAAGTGTCATCACTCCTCGAATGCCTGTGATGTGTTGTTCGTTGAGCATGGTTTGACCTTGGCAAAGGGCTCCTTGATCGATGAGTGATCTGAACCTGTAATTCCGCGATGCTAGCTTGTATCGCTGCTTGCATCGCTGCCATATTCGCAGCCATATTCTCCATACCAACTTGCAGATCCCGTTGACTTCGTTCCACCTCGTTAACTCTACCTTCCATTTTTGCGCGCGTATATCTCATCCAGCGATCGACGCGCTCGGATACCAATGATAGAACTTCCACAATTCCAGAATTAATCACAGAAGAATTAAGAACAAAGAAAGAAATCTGAATCTCATTCACAGTAGGTAAACCGTATACAATTGTCCCAAAGAAGGAGATAGAACTCCAACTTCCCAGTCCAGACAAAATGTCTACAAAACAGCCTCCTTCCCTCTGCAGTTTTATTCTATTTATATCCTTCACATATCGAAGGTAGTTATTAGTTACTAACAGTTTTAACTAATAACTAGCTAGTCAGCTTTGACTTTCTAGAATATACTTGCCCATAGAATCTATTCCTATTAGTTAGACTAGCCGGGTCCTTATCAAATTCCAGCCTCCCCTCTCCTTCCTCTATTCCTTCTATTTATTCTTTTCTAATGTGGCTTCCCCTCAATCTAACTACTTACTTGGCCCAGCCCACTTCCTCATTACACTTTATTAAAATATTCATTATTATTTCTATTATATCTCACGCCATAAGCCCACATAAGCCCATAAGTCCAGGTCCTTATCATCACTCTCCCCTTTGCCAACCACCTTGTCCTCAAGGTGGGGAGTAAGAATTGCCATGCCATCCACCTTCATCCTCGCGCCTCTTCCTTCCCAGTACCTCCCTGATTGCTTATCAACTCTCAGACATATTTCCTCATCTTTTTCATTGCTTGGATCTATGCACTTTGATCTGTTTCTTTCCAGATCAACCTCTCCCAAGAACTTGGTCAGTGCCATTAATGCGTCCTGAGTCAGAGTTGATACTTCGTCCGGAGGTGAAACTCTTGAGATACATCAATCCCTGTCCACTAGCAAATACCAGTATTCACTCACTTGGTATGCATTTTCATCATCCCAACCTCCTGATATTTTTTCCTCAAGTTTGTTTACCTTATCTGCTGCTTGATCTAAAATATATTGCTTCTTCATGGAACCCCCTTGCTCCTCATTGAAAGCAGATGTAAAGGGAATGAGCACAATCTTTAGGCTCTTAAGCTGATAATCCAAATAGTTGGGGCAGCAACTTCTGCTCCCCAAAGATCAGTTACAAGGAACCCATCTTTCCATTTTGACCACTTGTCAAGCTGTAAGGTCCTCACAACATGATAATTGCATTGAGAACTATTGTATAAGGAGGCAGTCTGCTGATCATGTATAGCAGTAGAGCTTCCCCAGCAACCTACAGAGTTATTAGATGTAGCATTTCCTTTTCTTAAATAGGACCAAGAGCTCAGGCCAGAAGACACAGCATCTGGAATCAGCATCAAGCCAGCAATAGGTAAAATTCCTCACCGAGTCTTCATTAGGAAGTGTTGTTGACACCAGCAGGTCCTGGTACATGATTAAAGGATAGCAATTCCTGTTCTTAGCGCCAGATTCCAACACCCTAACCAGAGATTGAACTTCAAGAGCGACCTCCAACCCAATAGTCAACTCCCCAAGATCATTCACCTCCTTTTGTAAAAGCTGGAACTGAACTTTCTCAATCACTAACTGCTCATGCTTCAATTCACCAAAATAAGTTGCTGCCAATGTTTTAGCAAGTTTAATTTTGCCAACTCCAGTAGGACAGAAGGGTATAGCAGCAATGTGACTCATTAGAAGTATTCTCTTATCAATCCTCAGCTGTTCACGAAATTTGCCTGGCCAAATGAAGCTATAGAAGCTCTTTCCTCATGTCCAACCACACAAAATTCATCATCTCTAGCTGCTGAATTTATAGAATGTTCAGTTTGGACTTTATCATCCCCTTCCAAGTGAGATTCGTAGTTATTTCTGCTGAGTTTCTTTTTCATAATCATTTCAGGACTTGTCCGCACAGATCTATTTTCTTGCCAGTGTTCACTTGGTGATTTTTTAAGTACAGAAATAAGCAGTCACGTTTTCCTTTTAGGAGCATCCATTTGTGATCTGCACCCCACCGCACCAATAGGATCAATGCTTTTATCCAGATGATATCTATAAGGAATGTATCTAGCTGAAAGTTGCAAAACTGCTGTTAAGGCCTCATAGTTCTCAAACTCATATTTCTGAGATTCATATTTCTCATGCTCTAGCAGTATCTGGACATCATCCTCATGGTTCGGTTCATGAATCATTATAGGCTGAAACCCAAGTGGTAGCCTTAACATATTACCAAGTCCAGTACCCTTACTTCCTCTTCCATCCGTGTCCGTGCTGGAACCACTTGGCGTATGGACCTCATCAATATGAAGAATGATATTTCCTGACTTCTTAACCTCCTTAATTAATGAAATCACACGAGCCTCCAATTCAACAGAGAAGTACAAGAATTTCTTCATAACAGTAAGATGCCCAGCTAACTTCCTCTTTGGTGCAACATGATAACTTGAGTTTAATTTAGAGCTCAGATCTAATCCAAACTCAGACTCGGGAGTAAAACCTTGCACCCCCATTGTAGAACCGAACAACATAACTGTGCTTTTCAATCTTCTTTATTCATCCTTGTTTGATTAGTTCCTCAGTAGCATCCGTGTATGAGTTGATGATTCCCGGAAGCTTCTTTCAATCATTCCCCTCTTCTATTTCCTCAGTTTCCTCTATACGGACAGTCCCTGTAGAGCTTTCCCTGGCAACCGAGGATTGAGTCACCACAAAAGATTTCTCCTCTCTTCCTTCATCACCATAGATGAACGTACCTTCAGATAGAGGTTGTCGTGGATTGCCAGACTCCTGTGACTCAGACAGCAACAGCGAACTGGAGGCTTCTCCTTCCGATCGCATCGTACCTTGAAGTGTACCTTGAAATAAGCTGCTACCAGTCTGCGAACTGAAAGCCTCAACTACCGAGGATACCTGCGGACTGGTAGAATCATCTAATGACGATAACTGGGAACTGATCAATGACTCTAAGTGAAGAGTAGCTAGCGAGGATGGTGATACCTTGCTTGCAGAATTCTGACAACGGCGGACTGTCCTCGATCGACCTTGCCTGCGACGTTGTTGATGCAGCTCGGTGCGAAACTCGTCCAACCAGATCCTCCACTTTTTCTCCCAATCGCTTTCTACCTTTTCCTTGCTCTTTGTGCGCTTCTCGCTGTTCAAGCCATTCTCCACCTTCTGTTTCCTGCGCTGCTCCATTTGTTTATCGTGTGAATGTAGATCGAAGATTCCAAGGCTCGACTGCTTTGATACCATTGATAGGGACTCAACCAAAACAGCAGAAATCAATAGTATATTGATGAAGATCGCAGATTTACAAGTGCGGAAATCGTAAGAAAGAGAAGAAACACATAGTTGGGACTCTTCGAGAGGTCCTGCTCTCCCAGCCCAATTCTACAGAATTCCAGCCTCTCCTCTCCTTCCTCTATTCCTTCTATTTATTCTTTTCTAATGAGGCTTCCCCTCAATCTAACTACTTACTTGGCCCAGCCCACTTCCTCATTACACTTTATTAAAATATTCATTATTATTTCTATTATATCTCACGACATAAGCCCTCATAAGCCCATAAGTCCAGGTCCCTATCAAAATGTCATAGCCAAGGACCAAAATGATTGCAATAAAAAGTCGAGGAAGAAATCTAGCAATAATGTATAGTCCCAATTTACCAAAGTGGGTATTAACTCTTACCAAATATAAAAATAAAAAACTCAGCGACTAATCATTAATAGCCCAAATAATCAATCAATTCTTACTTGAATCCCCAAGATCAGATAAATTGTTTCCAAATGATGATGAACCGTATAAACTCCTCCGCTCAGCAGCACGATCTCGATAGGCGCTACTATTGTTTGTAGATTGTTCCTTATCAGAAATGTGTTGGGACGGAATTTCAGAAAACCTTCTTTTACCACCACTAGCAGCTGTCACGGCTGATGTGTGGGAACTCAATGCAGATGGATCCATTCTATAGGGTGTTGCAATTGTTGAGACCTCTGTATTAGTCAAAGGAGTAGAGGAAGTTCCTAAAGATCCTGTGTATAAAGTGGTGTCGTTTTTCACCACTCCTATTCCTGAGCTTCTAATGACACCCTTCACAGGTACTACTACTCCCATTCCCACTGACTGGACAGTCGGGACGACCGACTCACTGCTTGATATAGCTTTTGTGGCCGAGTTGGGTCTTTCTTCATCTACTGTCTCAGTGTCATCAAGAGCAACACGGGGTGCTTGACTTTCATGAGTTCTTTGCTTCCACATTGTTAATACATTACTCATCTTCTTCTTGTTGGCAAGAATGCTGCTTTTTGCAATTTTTATTTCTTTTGATGACTTCTCCTTCTCCTTCTTCTCTGCGGCCATTGCAGCGGTTGCTGCAGCTTGTATGGCATCTGGTAACGAGGGGGTCTTATCATTGGATGATGATGTCATTGTTGCAGGTGCAGATATGATCACCTTTCTTGCATTGGATGCATTTTCTTCTTGATTCTGTGAGGTTTTGTCATTCTGATCGCCACACGGAATGTATTGCTGGGTCTGTTGATCATAAGAGTACCAGATTCCATTGTTTCCATCATAATACAAACCTGCAAAGATTGAACTAGGCATATCAATAACTTTAATCTGTAGAAGATAATGTTTTAAGGGTATGTTGGATCTCCACAAGTTTGGGGAAGGAAAACAATTACCCCATTTATACCTCAAACATATTGTACGCGGCGGAGATGGTTATTTTTCCCATATATTTAGGGTAAATAGTACGAGTTTGAACGAATATTTAGAAAAAAATGAGTTTGAACCTATCTTTTATTTTCTCCAAATGCTCCTCTCTTTTTCTCCCAATTTTCTTCCCCTTTTAATTTTAGGTTTCCGAGTGGACCTATAGAGTTGGAAAAAATCCAACTTTGATATCTGGGAGAAAAGCAAAATATTTTCCTTGTAAAATTTAACTCTGCCAGAAGACTCATCGACGAAAAATAATAATTTTTTGGCATGAGGTTGTTTTCATTGACAATAATGAAATGTGAGTGATAAATTTCTGCAAACGGTGTGGAATATTATATTTGGGATTTTGACAGCAATATTACTAAATGAGAACTCATGGATACTAATAGTAATAATTTTTAAAAAATGAGACTTATTATACCCTCTGACATTTACCCGGCCAGACAGTACCCACTGCGCAACAGTGATCACAGCCGTCCAGTGACCACCACCAGTCACCAATCACCACCCGCAAGTGACCCACTGCCAACCAGTGACCTGCCACCTCTAGTGACCAATCACCCCCCCCCCCCACCATCTAGTAATCGGCGCTCGCTGCATCCCTCCTCACCAGCCCCCCTCTCCCCCCACTGCCCTAACGTTCTGCCAAACCCCTCCCCCTGCCCAACCGTCACCAATCGCACCACCCCCTACCCTAGCCATTAGAGCCCGCGCCATGCACGCCGCAAACTGCCGCCGCACGTCATAACCACAGACCCTCCCCAACCGTGGAGGCCTAGCCGTTGCTATAGTTGTAAACGAATCAAATAATTTTGATTAGATTTGTGATTCGAATTCGAAAATGTCGATTCGAATGCGAGTGACTAGAATACGAATACGAATACAATTTTTTTATTTGAATGCTTTTCGAATATGAATGCAAATACTATGATATTCGATTCGAACAACATTTGAATTATATAGGAATATATATATATATATATATATATATATATATATATATATATATATATATATATATATATATATATATATATGTATGTAGGGAAAAGATCACGTGAGAAGTGTGTCTTAGGTTGAGAACTGCGAAGTTTAACTAATAGAGACAATAATGTAACTTATATAAGAGAAATCATAACTTATAAATCCAACAACTCTAAATCAAAAGTATAATTTTATAGTGATAAATTGAGAAAATGAGAGATTACAATGAAAAACACTAGTAGTAGTTGAAAAATATTTACAAAAAAAATATTTATCAAAAAGATATTTATTTATTTACCAAGACATGCATGTCCTAATAAACTATTAATACGTTAAATATAACTTATAAACCCAAATGTTTAACATTCACAACTTTTTAAATTACTTCGCAGTTCTCAGCCTAAGAATACTTCTCACCTGATCCGCTCAGGGGCGGATCTACTTCATTAGTAGTGGGGGCACATGCCCCCAACAACTTCTCCTTTAATAGTATAAATATGTATGAATTTATATAATTTATTTCAAATAGTAGAAATTTGCCCCCAATAATTTTTATTGTACGTCCCCAATACTTTTATTATTTGCCCCAATGTTAAAAGAAAAATAGTACATGTGATTAAATCTGTGTTTAGTTTTTGTGAAATGGTATTAATTAACCTGTCTAGATAATGTGATACTTTATAGAGATCTAAATAAGAAATCAAATTAGACCTAAAGAGACGCAGTATAATTTTACAAATGAAAATTTAGTTACGTGCTCATTTAAGGTTTGTAGCTAATTAATGGGCAATATTAGGACCTAGGCCACTCCATATTTGATAAAAACATTAATTTTATGTGTAAAAATTGTAAAAAGAATTATTTGAAAAATATAGCAACCCAAAACAAAGTACGTAAGTTCTTAGCTACAACACTATTCTCTTCTTAGACACAAACTTTTCCATAAATTTTCTCTTATTAATATTTCACGAAAACACCAAGTAGAATAAACTCATTTAATAGATAAATAACTTGACAATGAGAATAATGAGTTGAACATCTTAACATAAGGTACATGTGATTTAAATTAAATGTGTAAACTGTCAACTATGTCTAAGACCGAATCTATTATAAATACGAGTAAAAACTTATTATTTAAGTATAAAAGAAAAGGGAATATTGCACTTCTGGTACCTCAATTAGTCTCCATACTGAAATGTCAAACTTGTATTTATGAGATGGAAAATGTCACCCCCGAATTGACAGATGAATTGTAAATGTCATCCTCGTCGTTTATAATCTATCTCCGATTCTGGACTACCAATAAATTCACCGGGGATGACATTTACAACACATCTGTCAATTTAGGGGTGACATTTACAATCTTAGAAACATGAGTCTGACATTTCAATATGATTACTAATTGAGAGATCAAAAGTGCAATTTTCCCATAAGAAAATGTGATCAAATAACTAAGTTTGAACCCGATCAATATGTGTGAATGATATATGTTCATAGTTTATGTTAGTATGCCCCCAATTAACTTTAGTTCTGGATCCGCCACTGGATCCGCTCCCTTGATGTGTGTGTGTGTGTGTCATACAGTATATACTACTCCATATAAATGAGTATAATTCAATGTAAAAATTGATATTTATGCAATATATACTAATCCTTATAACAATATATACTACTCCTTATTTATAACATTGATATTTATGTAGAAAAACTAATAGGTATTTTGCATATTTCAATTTAAATGTTCTTACTTTACCAGGTCAAAATAGCTTATTTTAATTATAGTTATAATACTTCGTTGATTTATATATCATCATCATTACCCTAGTACCGCAAAGGCTCACACCTACCATGGGGGTAAGGGTCGAATGTACGCAGTCTTACCCCTGCACTAAAGCAGGGAGAGACTGTTTCCGGATGACCCATAGTGAAAATCGTGTCGAAAAATGCATGGACTGACCGCTGCTTCATAACAAAGAACCGCAGACAGTTTAGTGAACCATTTTTGCTTTATCCCATCATATTCTCAAGCCAAAAAAACAGTGAGTCTTAGGCTTCATTGCAAATGATGGAAAGGCGCAAACTTTGGTATAAATAGTGAGTTGTTAATTTATTATATATATTGATGTAAATTTGGAGAAGTGACTTGTAGATATATTTTGTTTGGTATGAAATACGTAGTATGTACTACAAAAATGAGTTAAAAGGGGCAAACTCTACATTATAATTTTAATTATTTTCATGATCTATATTTAATGCTTTTCGAATTGGAATGTTCGAATAAGATTCGAAAAAGGTTCAAATATACCAATGAATTGATGTAAATAATATTCAGAAAACTTCATGGTATCAGCCACTTCACTGTTAATCATCTTTCGTACAGTCTACTAGGGTGTCTCTCCCTGCCTCTGTGTTTAATCGTGTGGTGCCCATCTCTTCACCAACGGTTTTATCACGTCTAAGGAAACTGAATCAAGTAACCTTGATCACTCAACCATTGTTTCAGCTACTACTGCAGCCGCGTTTGCTCTTCGAAACCAGAAATTTGATCTCCCTTCTATCCCGCCATCTTACCGTCTGATAGATCATTCAATATCGAACGCTATAATCTCAATGAACAACACACAGAACACACACTTGATTCATTCAACTCAAGTATAGAAGCTTTAGACAATTCGAGATGCCTAATCTCTCAGTCTTGTTCTAGCCAAAAGTCCAACCTCCTTCTGCTAGCCCTTCTATTTATAGTAATGTCCACACAGGGACAACCAACTAACTAACTAACCCGTTAGTTATTAGTTATTAGCCGCAGTCTTATTACTTCTTCTTTTATACACTTTATTATAAAATTCTACCGGCTGTCTTGCTGCATGTCTAACAATACTCCCTCCCTGGAAATTCACCTTGTCCTCAAGGTGAAACTCTGGAAATTGTTCTTTGATCATTTTCATTGACTCCCACGAATCTTCAAATTGTGGCAGATTGCTCCAATGAACCAACACTTCCCAATTACCATCTGCATCAACCCTTGTGTCCAAAATTTCTTCTGGCACCACCTGTAACTCCCATTCTTCATTCAAACACTTGGGTAGAGGTTGAAAGTAGGTAGTAGATGAGATGGCCTTTTTTAGCAAGGAGATATGAAACACAGGATGAATTTTGCTATCTTCTGGCAACATCAGCTTAAAAGCCACAGAACTGAGTTTATCAATTATCTCAAATGGACCATAAAATCTGGGGCTTAATTTTTGGTTTAGCCTCTTAGCTAAACTCCTCAGCTTATAAGGTTGGATCTTCAGATAAACCTGATCCCCTATCTCCAATGTAACCTCTCTCCTGTGCTTATTGGCTTGCTGCCTCATCTGATTCTGAGCTTTGGCCAAATTCTCTTTCAACTCATCCAATATCATATTCCTCTGAGCAGTCAACTTTGAAACTTCTTCTATTGAAGTAACTGTAACATCTTTTCTTATTACTGCAGGAAGGTCCTGCCCAAATAGAGCCTTGTAAGGAGTGATTTTCAGTGCAGCATGATAATTGGTATTGTACCAATACTCAGCCCAATGTAACCAGTTAAGCCGTTTTTTTGGTTTTCTTCCTGTCAAACACCTGAGATAAGTTTCCAAGCATCTATTAACCACCTCAGTCTGACCATCAGTCTGAGGGTGGTAAGTTGTAATGTACTTCAATTGTGTCCCAGCTAATTTGAATAGTTCAGACCAAAAAAACTGAGGAAGACACTATCTCTGTCACTGACTATAGTTTTAGGAAACCCATGTAGTCTGACCACTTCTTTAATGAACACATCAGCTACCTCCTTAGCATTGTAGGGATGTGATAAAGCAATAAAGTGAGCATATTTAGTTAATCTGTCTGCAAT